ACAACACTAGTTTTATGTGATTTTTTCGGTTTTCTTATAAAAGATCAAAAATTGTATTGTGTAAAATTAAAATTTTACAAAATCAATTTTTGACTAAAAATAAAATTCAACTTTTACTTTTAGCCAAAAATGAGATCAATGTGATATAACTATGATATTGATAGTTTCAAATAGTTTATTATCAAATAATGATCTTATTATGATCTCATGGTAAAGTCATAATGACAATTTAATTTATTTAAATATGGTTGTGACATTGTCATGAGATTATAATAAGATAATTACTTGATGCCATGGAAACCATGAGAAACTATTGATATTATAGTTATAATTCAAATTTTTAGTCATAAACTGAGATTAAAATGATGTAATTATGATATCAAAAGTTCCTCATGATTTGTTATCAAATTATGAATTTGTGGTGATGTCACAACTACAATTAAATTTATTTAACTTCGGTTGTGATGTCAATGTAAGATCATAATAAGATGATTATTTGATACCAAAAAATAATAATTTTTTTATATCATAGTAATATCACATTTAAAAAAAATGTCATTGATAAATACTTTAAATCCGAGGTTTAATTTTTTTTTTTGATTGTAAAAAAATAAATTACTTTGGTCCTTAGAGACGATTCTAGGAAAAAAATGAAGGGACGAACCCTTTAAAATTATCGACTGCTTAAAAAAAAAAAAGATTTATCTAAACTAAAAATCACCCAACTGAAATGTGTCAAATCCCCAACTAGCTAACTATATTCCTCGAAAAACCCACAATAACTTGAAAATTGCCTTCTTTTTTTTTTAAGGAGGTGGAAGAGGGGGTATGACATCTTCCACCAATAATAGTATATACTAGCCAAAAGCTGCAGAACAATGGAGTTGTGAACAATGAGCTATATATATATATATATATATATATATATATATATATATATATATATATATATATATATATATATATATATATATATATTTGTTGTTTTTAGTATGAAAAAATAAAGATAAATGTACAAAAAGTTATGATCAATTTATCTTATAGTTTACTCACACATGATATTTGGAATGATTTTATGTTTATTCATTTAGAATGATTTTATGTTTATTCAGTATCACTTTTTTGTTTTCGAGGTGCTCTGTTATGCTTTTATTACCTCAATAACAAAACTTTTATTACCTCAATAATACCTCTGTTATTGCTTTTATTACCTCAATAACAACAATGAAATTAAAGAATTTTTATATAGATAGCTCAAAACAGATTCTCTAAGCAGTGTTGCTTTACAATGAAAATAATTTTATCTCTTTGCCTAATTTACTCTTGGTACAAAAGAAAGAAAACTACAAAAAAAACTTTTTAGCAAAACCTTTTGTTTTCAATTCAAGCGGGATAGAATATGACAGAGAAGGCACATTTAAACATTTGCTGTATTTGCAAATGCCTTAATGTGATGTGTTTCTTAAATGACTACTCTGTCCGCATTTCTCAATAGTATATTATTTTCAAGATTACTTCTGTCTACGATTTCTGTTCTTTTCGAAACTCATTTAATCTTGGCCCGTTGGGGCGAGTAATGATGCTCCTTAGTAAGCTGAAACTATCTTCTGCAGATCTTTGTCTAAGACCTCCATATAGAGATTAGACCGGACGAGGATAAACCACAGTACCAAAATAATTTAGTTCATTGTTGTGGTTACTGTGAGAAAATTGCTATCCAGGATACAAAATATTAAACACTTTAACAGTTCTAATATCGAATCAGAAAATTCATATAAGTGTATTTTTCAGTTACTATTTGTAAATGTAATAAACCAAAACTTTTTAATTTATTGAGAGTTTTGTATATCAGATATATAAAAAAAATTAAAAAAAAGTACTTAAAATCAAAATTAGATTTGAAAGCCAGCATAAAGATTGATTATTTCAGCATTTCTAATCAAAAAGTATACCATTAAATATTCATTAAATAAAAAAAACATTAAATGTTCATTAAATAAAAAAAACAAGATGTTACTCAACAAAGTTGATTGAATTGAGAATAAACAACGAACAACTGATGAAAAAATGATTCTAAAACAGATTCAATGGTACTAGTTTTACTTGAAGTAATACGAACAACATGCAATAATTAGTACTATATTATGGTTAAAGTTCTTAGAATCATATAACATCAAACTTAAGCAATTCAAATATTAAATGAAATACAAAAATGAAACGTTGCAAGATGATAAAGTGTTTAAATGTTTATTCAACTGTAATCCATAAGTAGTTTATGTCACAATAGACGCGTGGTAGTACCTGCAATATTTTCAGCGCTCAGGACGTTTGAAAAAATGAAAGAAAAATTCTGTTTACCAAAAAATTTCGATAACAACAACAATTCATCTCTAGAGTTAAAGCGTTTGTTGAACACAGCCGAAATATTATTTGATTTAAATCAAGTTATTTTAAAGAATTCGGAAAAGCACATTAAAGGTTATGAAGATTATATATTATTGAGTTCATGGGGACAAGATTGAGCTTCCAAAAACTTTTAACCTCATCAGAAAATAAGTAATTGCTACACATTACCTGTATAGCAATGGTGTTAAACACAAAGTTTAGAGAACAAGGTATTCAAATAAATGTATACTGAAAAATCTTTTTAGTATTCCAAATCTTAAGACATTTTAAAATGTCTTAAGATTTGGAAGAATTGACGAGCCATGAGTTTAAAGAATCAAGTCCAATAGGACTACAATAAATGTTTGCCCAAAAGTATTCAATAAAATTAAAATTCTGAGAAAAAAAGTGAAATCTAGTAGTAAATTTCTGGAAATCAGCAAGGAATTCATAAAAAGGTTTTAATCTATTTTATTAAACAATAATGGTTGCCTTTCTGCTTGTCTTTAGAAAATCTAAAACAGAGTTAAAATTTATAGGTGAAATTGTTTTAAATTCTCCTGCTTTTGTTGGAATTTTGATTTGTAAGATGTCAATATCTGATTTCCCTAACTATTCCCTGTTTTACCTGATCTGGCAGACACCAAAATTAAGGAATAAATATCAAAGATTTAGACAATCTATACTACCATACAACCTATATACCATCAAATGATATTTATATAAATCCTGTTGTTTTAAACAATCACAACTATTTTAATCTTTTTTTCTCCCCCTCTTTCTTAAGCTATGGATTTATTACTTTAAAACTTCTAAAATGTCAATTTAATTTTGTATCATTGCGGATAACAAATAGATTATCTGCTTGATGCTATTTGTTGTAGGAATAAAAAAAATATGTTTGTAAATCGTGTAAATATACTAATAATTGCTAATCTAATCTAGACAATAATTAAATCCAGTGGCGGAACTACTGGACGCAGGACCCTGCGTTGCGGGGGGGTCTACCAGCTATAGGGAACCCTCATATAAAAAAAGTTATACTCTCAATAATATTTATACTATAAAACTCTTTTCCGCAAAAAAAACATTCTTTTGCGGGGGGGCCCAAATTTTGAAGTTCCGCCACTGATTAAATCTAATAAATAATATGTATAAAATATAATCTAGATATTTCTAATAAATAATATGTATAAATATATGTATATTTATACATAGTATATATAATTCTAATAAATAATATGTATAAAATATTTTTTTTTTTTTTTTTTTTTTTTTTTTTTATTTATTTCGTCATTAAATGAATAATCTTTTACAATGTTTTTTTACAACATAAAAATTATAACATTAAAGTTTCGACCGGAGCTGGCAGAAGACATGATCTTATCATCCAGCCCCGTTAATATAACTAAAAAATTCAGCCGATAAAAATGAAAAAGGAAAAAAGAAACTAAAGCAAGAACTGATTTTAATATAATCTAGATATTTCTAATAAATAATATGTATAAATATATGTATATTTATACATAGTATATATAATTCTAATAAATAATATGTATAAAATATAATCTAGATATTTCTAATAAATAATATGTATAAATATATTTATATTTATACATAGTATATATAATTCTAATAAATAATATTTATAAAATATAATTTAAATTTTAAACTTAAAAATTATTTAGAACTTTAAAATTAAAACTTTAAAATTACTTAATTTTTCAGAACTTTTTTTATTTTATTTGTAATGCTATGATTGTACTTCCTCTTATGAAAAAGTTTCTCTGAAATTTCAAATGTTAAGTGAATTTGGAACAAATATACTTTGATTTATGTATTTATAAATAATAATAGCTTTATGCATGAATAGAAAAAATAATTTTAGCCACCCTTTTGTATGGAACTATCCCACTTTGCACTTTTGGTTTATCAATAAAACACAAATGAGTAAAAATTTATTAAGTTTATTATATTTATAAAGAAATACTTAATAAGTAATTCCTATGTAATGGTTTATGTTATGCTTTCTCTATGTTATGCTTTTTCTTCTACAAGCTGTTTAACTAGTTTTACTTAATATCTATTTTTTATGCTTTCACTTATATTTAATTGACCCATGTTTTATTACGTATATATTTATTGAAATTATTTATTACGTATATATTTATTGAAAAGTCAAGTTTAATAACTGTTCTTTTTTTTGGGTAATATCTGCTTTTTGGCTAGTTAGTAGTCAACCCTCTAGAAGCTATTAGGAATCTAGTACGGTATGAGGTCTGGTCATTACAGCTGATAGAGGTTCACTTTTTTATCGTCTCTTTCTACGTTCAGAAATCTCAAAGAAATCAATTTATAATGGAAGTTTCGGGCTTAGGCCCTGTTGCCATATTTATCATCGGAGTTTCGTCTCCAGTAGTTTACTAAGCCAGCCTTTTAATGCTTTGCGTAATTCTGGCTTCAGTTTCTATAGTCTCCAATTGAGGAATAAAAGAAGAAAAAAAAATAATTTTTTTTTTTTTTTTTTTTTTTTTTTTAAAACTTAAACTTTGTTTGTTTTTTTTAAATTGCTTTTTAGAAAATTTGAAATAAAAATATAATTGCTTTGTTTTTAGGTAAAATTTGTTTCCAGTTGTCTTCTTACTAATGACGAATAACAACTCTGTTTTAAGCTCATTTTTTTTCATAATACTATTAACGTCAGTAATGTTAAACGCAACAGCCTGTTATATCATTTTGCTTAAAGTAAAGAAAAAAGAAATAACGCATCTGTTTATTATCAGCATTTCGCTTATAAATATGCTGGAATCAATAGTTGGATTTATTCCTGATATATTAACATCTGATGGATCTTTAATAAATCGAACACCATTGTGTATTTCAAGCGGCTTTACAGTTTTTGGATGCGCCATAACAAGTATAACTCACATTACAGTGCTTTCTTTTATTAGAACACTTGTCATAAAATATCCTTTTTTTTATCACAAAACTTGCAAGAAGATGTGGGTTAAGGCTACTTTAATTGCAATGTGCTATTTGTACGGTTTTAGTTGGGCAACGTTTCCATTGATTGGTTGGTCTAAATATGAATTAGATCTTGATAAAAAGAGGTGTTCATTGGATTGGAAATTAACACAATCAGACTCTGCATCATATTTTTTAACAATTTTAATATTTTGCAATTTATTGCCGGCTATAGTTATATCAACAACGTTATACACCAGCAGAAAAATTATTTCTAAAAGAAATGCGCGTGAAGATTGTCAAAACCATCAAGCATCGCTTGATATTTTAGAAAATGATTATTTAAACGTATGTCTTTTATCAACAGGAACATTTTTTTTCATCTGGACACCCTACGCTGTTATTGGTTTTTTAACAATACTAAAGATCGTTATACCGACGCAGTTGGTGACAGCAAGTGCTATATTTGCAAAGTTGTCTACTATTACTAACGTCATCATTAATTGTTTTATTGTTAAATCATTCAAAAACTAACTCCTTGAATTAAGATTAATTCAATATATTCGAAATATAAATAATAAAAACTCAGCGGTTCATCCATGTGATGATTCAAAAATTAATTACAGTTAATTGCACCAGTGTCATGAGATAAAATTTTAAGAACAATTAATTAAAATTAAACACTAACCATTCACACGATTAAAGAAACAACAAAGTTTCCAAAATTGAAGAAGTTAACAACAAAATAATCAGGATCAAGACTTATTTATTTCTTGAACATTCTTTATTGATGGGCTAACGCATCTTACGTTTATTAGTCAATCTATATTCATGTAAATATATACATTTTATATATGTTATAATCAAAACATGGTAGAATATAGCACTTTGTGGGGTAAACGAGCATCCATTAAATTTATTTTTTTTTTTTAAATATCACGTCATATAAATATGTTTATTTTTATAATTAGTTTGCAATTATTTAAACTAACAGCAATACATCTTTTGGATAATCACAAGCCTTTGTTAAACATTATTTCAAACCTTTTTGAAGAAAATAAGTAACAAATAAAAATAAAACAAATTTTAAAACTTAGTAGAAATTGTCAGTTTGAACTGACAGTTTGAATTGGCAAGAGTATATATATATATATATATATATATATATATATATATATATATATATATATATATATATATATATATATATATATATATATATATATATATATATATATATATATATATATATATATATATATATATATATATATATATATATATATATATATATATATATATATATATATATATATATATATATATATATATATATATATATATATATATATTTGCTATTTAGAGTGAGCTATATTTTGTTTATGATCTTGATTATCCCATAGAAATTTAAGGTGTTTTAGCTTTTTATTGAGATGTTGGGAAGAACCGTTTAATTTGAATTGTATTTTGTGTTATGACTTGATATATTGTAAAAATGTAGCGATGAAATGGAACCTTGTCGCACGCCTTTAGAAAAACAAAAATGGTTTTGTTTATGTACAAGATATGATATACTAGCAGTATAACGTATAAATTGTAATGCGTGACCTACTGAGAACGGTAAATTTTTTTGTAATAACGTTTTTCAAACATCAAGATCCAGCTATGGAAAGTTAGTTTTTAAGGAACTTTGTTTCATTAAAAAAAAAAAAAAAATTTTCTTCTAGATTGAAAACTTGATTGAAAATAAAAAATGAAGCAAAAATAACAATTAAAAAAAACAACCATTTAATAAGAAAACATTTTTTTCATTCTTGTGATGTCATTGATTTGTTGAAAGGTTCTGTTGAATTATCGTTTTAGCGGAACTTTTTGGCGCAATATAACTCGATAGCTTCTACATTATTGCCTTAGTATGCATGTTTTACAAAGCCGAACCTTTCACTTTTTATTCTGATATCATTTACTAATTTGGTTTGTTGAACCTTTGCACAGTGGGACAGTATGCCAAAATACAAAAAAAATCACTATTGCATTGTATTCTGAAAATATGTCATAATGGTGAAAATATGTTTATTAGAGGAAATATATAGTTAAAAAAACATTAAATATTAATTTAAACGTTGTTTTATGCGGTTATATACACGTGAATTTGACATTGTGTTTCAAAACGCTTTTTTGCATTTTTTAATTATCAACTTTCTTACTATTTTTTTTATTTTTATTGAGTATGATTTTAAAATATTTTATTTGAATTAACTTTGTTTTTTTCGCTCTGACTATTCAAAACAATTAAACGTAAATGTATTCTTTGGTTTTTGTGTATCAGTGACAGGCAGTTTTGGCTTTTTTTTTTGCTACTAACCTTTACTATTAGATATCAGATAAACCGTCCATTAATATCCTCCAAACATTTGATTATGTAAATCAATTGCTTAATGTATCTTAAGTGCAATGTATCATAAATATTTTGCAACTTTTTGCAACTAATAAAGTTATAACAAATAACTCATACTCAATTCATAGTATTTATTGCAAAAACACGTTTTTCATAAGTTCTTGAAACTCAAATATTTTTAATGACTTTTTAACTGCAAATTAATTTTGTAAGATTTTTTTTACCAAAGGTTTCAATAATTATTTTTTTTTAGTTATATATACGATACTTGTTGATTTGGTGCCTTTTTCCCTCCCTTCATCCCCCTCCCCTTCCTTTTCCTTCTTAAAAAAACATTTTTATAACCTTCTCAGTATATCTAATGCTTTTACATATAGTGTATGCACTATCCGCAAGATGCAATAGTGTATCATTATCCGCAAGATGCAATAACTTCAATTTTGTTTTTAGATGAAATATTTTGATCTTTTCAACTCTTTAAAAGATAATGAAATTTCTATTCAAGATACTGAGAAATCATATATTCATTTGCTAACATTCTTTGAGTTATCCCTTGTTCAGAACAATGAAATTGTTCGGAGATCAACACTTATGAACATTTTAGCACATCTTAAATATCGCTGGAATGTCTGTAAAAGCAGAGAATCTTTATTTATTAAGAACAATACTAAATGGCTTGATAATGAAATTAATTTAAATGATTTTGCTGCAGGCAAAATAACCATACCTCCTGCAAGTTCTCATTTCTACTTCCAGCGCTGGTCGACCAACAACTACTGACTTTCAAGAGTGTTCTTCATAAACTAAGTATCGACGTGTTAGTAAACTCCAAAAAAGTCACTTGTCAAATGAGCTATTATTTGCTTCTAAAGTTTCATTAAATAAAGAAGGAAAAATAGAAAAAGCTAAAGCAATCAACAAAATATATTTAGATAAGAATGTAGATTCTTCAATGCATTCTGGACATGAAGCATTGTCGTTGATGCTAGATTCAAATATGACCAAAGCTGCGTTTCAACTCCATAAAAATGCAGCAATTGAAAAAGAATACAACCTGTATCCTGCATATAACAATATAAAATCATCAAAACTTTTGTGTTACCCTAATAACATGATTTTTACTGACTATACTGCAAAGTTTATGTGACCATACAGCTCAAAGACTTTGTCAAGTTCAAAATGAGGTTTTATGTATGCTAGAAATGCTTGACCTGGTATCTCTTCATTATAAAGCAGGTTTTGATGGGTCTACTGGTTAAAGCATATATAAACAAAAAATGTCTGTTGAAAATTTTCGTGACTTGAAAAGAGAAGAATCATTCTTTCTAACTTGCATGGTTCCACTTCAGATTGCAATTTATGTTAGAGAAACCCTAACTGTCATTTGGAGAAGACCAAAACCTTCTTCCACTTTATATTGCTGACTTTTAAGATTTAAATTTGAAAAAGAAACAACTGATTTACTACTTATTGAAGAAGCTACTTTGAAAGACGAAATCTTAAATCTTGTAGAAACGTTTGTTCACTTATCTAATGGCAAGTCTATTTCAGTCAAACATATCATTCAAGTTACAATGATAGATGGCAAAGTCTATACTACTCTATCAAATGTAACAAGCTCTAGTCAATGTTGCTGTATATGGGGGTGTTCACCAAAAGAGATGAACAACATTGACAAAGTTACAAAACTTCCATACTCACCGGATGAGCTTCAATATGGATTATCTACATTTCATGCATGGATAAAATTTTTTGAGTGTCTTATTCATATTTCATATAAGATACCAATAAAAAAATGGCAAGCAAGAGGAGACGAAGAGAAATCTCTTGTTAAAGATTAAAAAATGAAGATACAAAAAGAATTTCAACACAAAATGGGACTTATTGATGACTACCCAAAATGTGGAGGATTTGGAAACTCAAATGGCGGCAGTACTGCTCGAAAAGCTTTTTCAAATGAAGACTTGTTTGCTGATTTACAGGAATAAACAAGGAAATAATTTTAAAGTTGCATATAATTCTAATTTTTATATCAAGTGGATTTCAAATAGAGACTTGTAAGTTTTGCTTACTTTGTATGAAGACTGCAAAACTTAACTCATGCTTATACCATTGGTATTACATGTCTCAGAGTCCTCACAAGATCTCAATTCATGGAGCAGAAGTAATAGAAAATTTATTTTTACCAATAGGTTTATTTAGTGAAGAAGCTCAAGAAGCTAGAAATAAAGAATTTAGAAAACATAAGGAACATCATTCCTGTAAAAATTCAAGAACAAAGACAAACGAAGATGTAATGAAAAGACTTTTATGTACATCTGATCCAGTTATTTCATCTTATACAAAAACTGTTTCATCTGTAAAAAAGAAACTCCCTCCGGGTGTTGTTGAACTTTTTATTTATTTTTAGCGAGAATTTTACGTTCTAGAATATAGATATATCTAGTTCGTAATTTTTAATTGTATCTAAACCAAAAAATAAACTTTTTTAGCAATATATACGAGCTTGATATTCATTTTATATGGTTTGTATAATTAGTTTATAACAGTTCTAATTAAAAAAATCAAAAATAATTTTGGCATAAAAACGCGATTTTATCCCACTGTGCTTTGCTTAGAACTTCACATTACATTTTACAATCAATTTGGTTTAGTGTTGCTGTTGTTGTTGTTGTTGTTGTTGTTGTTGTTGTTGTTGTTGTTGTTGTTGTTGTTGTTGTTGTTGTTGTTGCTTTCCTGTTGTTGTTGTTGTTGCTTTCCTGTTGTTGTTGTTGTTGTTGTTGTTGTTGTTGTTGTTGTTGTTGTTGTTGTTGTTGTTGTTGTTGTTGTTGTTGTTGTTGTTGTTGTTGTTTGAGTCGCTGTTATTGCAAAGTTTATTTGCTACTCATCACTAAAGTTAACCTCACGTTGTTTTTAAGCTTGTTTTGCTGCTTTTTACCGCTATCAGCATCTTTTAATCATTTGAGTGTTTTATCTCCATTTTTTTAAAAAGTGCTGCAAGCAGTATGACCACTTGCAATTGCTTTACAACTTCTTTTTTAAATTTACTTATAAATAGTCATGGTTAGCTGCAGGCAAGATAAATTTAGAGTTGTCTTTAGAACTGATACCATAATGTATATTAATCAGAAAAAATTGGTATTTTAAAATCTAATGGCTGTTTGCATGCAGGTAAAAACTTCATCAGAGCTAAAAAAAAGTTTCTAATAGATGTTAAAAACATTTTTTCGAGAAAATGATGAACTTTGTCTCTAGATACAACTATTAAAGTAATAAACGCCAAGCTTATTTGGCGTGGCATTATATTCCGACATCTGTTGGCTGATTTTTTAATGTAAATAAGTACAACTTGAGTTAGGTGTCAATTATTGACTAAAATCGTTGAAGTATTGAATCATTAAATCATTGGATTATTAATTAGAAGCTCTTATTGGAATCATTAAATATAGATGTTTTTATCAAATGCTCTGTACTTATACAAATAAAAAATTGCTTAGAAGATAGCTAAACTGCTGTCTGAAATATTAGTTCTATAAATTAAATAAAAAAACTGTACGAGTAACAATAGTTTTACTCGTACAATTAGTTTTAGCTGTTGGCTCAAAGGTAAATTTTGTCACATACCTAAAAACTTATATATAAGCATATATATATATATATATTTATATATATATATATATATATATATATATATA